ACATTACAGTAATAAATCAAGTTAATTCATACGGCGAGATAAATGAAGCTACAAGCAGATAAACGTAATATCGCTGACGCACAGCAGGAGGCGCTGCGTTCCAAGCGCTCGGTAACACTCGCATCAGCGGAGGCTCTTCATTACATCAGAAACACAGTAAAACAGTGTAATATTACTCCAGTTTAAATCAGCGGTTCTCTATGTGAATATACAGTAAAGTGTAATTTATTCCTGTGATCAGCATCATTACTCCAGTCTTCAGTGTCACATGATCCTTCAGAAATCACTCTAATATGAGGATCTGATGCTCATAAACATTTATGATTATTATCAGTGTTGAACACAGTTTGTATAAACGGTGATACTTTTTTATTTTTCATGATTCTTTGATGAATAGAAAGTTCAAATGAACAGCATTTATTTTGAAATATAATCTTTTGTAACATTATAAATGTCTTTACTGTCACGTTTGATCAGTTTAATGCGTCCTCGATTAATAAAAGTATTGATTTCTTGTAAAGCAAACCCAAACTTTTGAACAGTAGTGCATCATGAACATATGAAACAGCACAAACATTAATAATCATATTGAGCATCAAATCATGTGAGATCATGTGACACTGAAGACTGGAGTAATGATGCTGATCACAGGAATAAATGACACTTCACTGTATATTCACATAGAAAACAGATAATTTACATTATAATAATATTTCACAATTTTACTGTATTTCTGATCAAATAAACGCAGCTTTGGAGACATTAAAGAAACATGATAACTGGTCCAAAGTGCGTCCCGCGCGGCCCGTTTGTGCTCCTGCTGTCACACACACACACACACACACACAGATGAAGCGCTCAGTTGTCCCAGTCGGCGCCGGCGGCGGTCTCGTCCTCGGACTCGGACTCGGGCGAGGCCTCCTTGATGCGCCGCAGGGCCTCGTGGATGGAGCGGGTCAGCGGGTCGGCCGAGTCCAGTGCTGACCCGCGCTCGTGGCGCCGCACCTTACGCAGCTGAACGCCTTTCCGGATCTGGGCCAGGATGTTGTTCTCGTCGTCCTCGTCCGGGTCCGGCGCCAGAACCCGCAGCTCGGCTTTACGGAGGTGAAAACTCCCGCGCTTCAGACTCGCCAGAACCTCGTCCATCGGGGAGCTCGCTGAGGACACACACACACACACACACACACCGTTACGCCGAGGAGAACACTTCATGGCCTACAACAAAACACTCATAAATCTCCTGTTCAACACTTATTCAGCTCAGATTTGGACTTTTTTCTCACAATTGCAACTTTTCTCACAATTTGGATTTTTTTCTCGCAAATTTGACTTCTCACAATTTTGACTTTTTATCTCATAATTATATACTTGCAACTTTTTTTAAGAATATTTGTTTGTGCAAAATCTTCACTGTATGAATGAAACATGCATTGATTCCTATTAAAGCTGAAGACCTAATGCACGAGTCCAGTATACTGACTCCATCACAATCTCTCCCTGTGGTTTACAGTAATTCTTGCCAAAACGCTAATTTTAATAATTGTGTATATTTTTCCATTCAAACGCAACTGTGTCAGTTCAGTCCATCAAGTCTCTAGCGCATCTTCTTGAGCTTGGAGATTTAAAGGCACAGTATGTAAGTTTGGCCACTAGAGGTCGCGCACTCAAAACAATAGCAAAGGTGTGGCTTGATGATGCGTGAATGAGTGTGGAATGTGACAGGAAGTGACCTCACCTCTCCTCCACTGGTTGGACTCCAGTGACGAGGTCTTCCTCAGCTTCTTCCTGGCGTTCAGAAGCTGACTGCTGTCGAAGAAGCGCGCGGTGAACGGCCCGAGAGGACTGTCCGCTTCCGGCTGGCGTACGGGGCTCCGGGTCTGAGCCGGGCCGGCGCCGGGCGTCTCCTCCAGAGAGGGAGGGGGAGGAGGAGGGGGAGGGGGAGGAGGCGGCGGAGGAGGGGAGATGGGCGAGGTGGAGGAGTCCAGCAGCAACAGCTCTCGGGCGGGAGGAAGTGATGCGTGCACAGGAGGCGGGGCCTCGATGATAGCTCCACCCATCGGGGGCAGAGACAGGAAGCTGTCGGGTCTGAGGAGCTCCGGCGCTCCAGACGAATGTTGTAACGGAGCCGGAGCGTCGTCCGTCTGAACGCTAGCGGCCTGCGTCTCCGGCCTAGCGCTCGCTCCCGCCTTCTTCCTGGAGTTAGCCAGGCGCACACGCGTGGACTTCAGAGTCACCTGACCCGGGTAACGCTGCAGGAGACCAATCACAGCATCAGAATCTCATGGACCAACCAGAACTCATTGATGACTTTAAGGTTTACACCTAATATTTATATTTTATTTTAGCTTCATTTCAATTAAAAAGTTATTTTCTCATCCTTCCCTCGGGTCATTTTGACCCAAAACTCTTTTTTTTTCTTTTTTCTTTTACATTGAGTGTTCATCAGAGGGGTCCAAGATCCTAGGACTTTTGTCACACTTGAACCATGAATACACAAACAATTTTTTTTTATGGATTCGAGGAGTTTTGTGGTTGAAATAAAAAACAGTAACAAATCCTTCCCTCTCGGCTCAATCGGACCCCCTTAGGAACGAGTGAACGCGAGGAATGCTTCAGTTCACACAGAAAAAAAACTAAAAATGCTCAAAGTTCAAACTAAGAATGATAAAACTTTACCGAAAACGTATAATGTGTACATGTGTGTGTGAATGCACACTGAGGCGAACTGGCTTTAGGACCCAGCGGAACAGCTCCTCTGCATATAGAGCTATAAGCCCATCTAGAGTCAGGAAATATCATGTGTTATTATTATTATTCCACAAGAGGTCGGCAGAGACTCCCAGTGTAAGATATTTAGAGCTGAATTACAAGAGTTATGCATGAGTTATTTTGAATTTAAGTTGAAAGAATGTGAGGAATGTGCTTAAACTAATATTTATTTATTATTTATTGATCAAATCTAGTAATTTAAAAGGTAAATAAAATAAAAAATAACAAAAAAAATCTCCCAAAGAAATTGCATTGCAAAATATTATCAAAATTAAATAAAATAGGCTTTCTGGACCAAAATAAATATTAAGTATAGTTTTAGGGCGAGGGAAAGACGTGTTACAGAACGCGAGGGAAGGATGAGGGTTAACTAACCACAGTTATCTGCACGAGACTCCATAACCCCCTGAAGACTCACGGACTGAGATTGATCTGATTATGATGTTGTCTGACCTGTTTGAAGCTGCGCAGTCGGTCCAGTGTCTTCTGTCTCTCCTGACTGACTCTGGAGAGCCGATGTTCCTCTTCCTCCTCTTCCTCCTGCGGAAACACATCAGCTGATCACCATCGCCATAATCATCCTAATCTAAGCCTCCTGATGCACTAAAACACCTCTACACTCCTGGACCCGGTGGAACATAAGCTTATAAAAAAGCATTTTGTATCTGATCAGTAACTGAGTAATTAGTAATAGGTGAATGCACAAAAGTTTAGCGTGTTATATTATATTAAATTATATAATATATTAGCATGTATATTCATTTAAAAATTAGAAATTCTTTGGAATTTAAAATGTTATAAGATCTTCAGCAAAAACCAGTTTGATGCAAGAAAATATATATTTTTATCAATATTTATGAGAAATCTTATTGAGATATATGAGATTCCACTCGAACCCATTAAACCAGTGGTTCTCAATCCTGGTCCTAGGGAGCCACTGCTCTGCACAGTTTGTATGTCTCCCTCATTTAACACACCTGATTCAAATCATCAGCTCGTTAGGAAAGAGCTTTATTAACTAAAGTGGGTGTGTCAGATAAAGGAGACATATAAAATGTGCAGAGCAGTGGCTCCCTAGGACCAAGATTGAGAACCACTGCATTAAACAGTCCAAATTTATGAAAACTACACATTATTTTTTTAACAAAACAACATCAGTTATTACTCTGAAATGTTTCAAACTATACATATAATTTTACTCGCATGATAAACAGACTCTCGTTTTCATCCGAGAGAAATCTGCACTATTGTTCCAAAACCTGTTCCTCTTTTCAAATATACACTCACCGGCCACTTTATTAGGTACACCTGGCCAACTGCTCGTTAACACTTAATTTCTAAGCAGCCAATCACATGGCGGCAACTCAGTGCATTTAGGCATGTAGACATGGTCAAGACAATCTCCTGCAGTTCAAACCGAGCATCAGTATGGGGAAGAAAGTTGATTTGAGTGACTTTGAACGTGGCATGATTGTTGGTGCCAGAAGGGCTGGTCTGAGTATTTCAGAAACTGCTAATCTACTGGGATTCCATCTCTAGGGTTTACAGAGAATGGTCCGAAAAAGAAAAAACATCCAGTGAGCGGCAGTTCTGTGGGCGGAAATGCCTTGTTGATGCCAGAGGTCAGAGGAGAATGGGCCAGACTGGTTCGAGCTGATAGAAGGGCAACAGTGACTGAAATAACCACTCGTTACAACCGAGGTATGCAGCAAAGCATTTGTGAAGCCACAACACGCACAACCTTGAGGCGGATGGGCTACAACAGCAGAAGACTCCACCGGGTACCACTCATCTCCACTACAAATAGGAAAAAGAGGCTACAATTTGCAAGAGCTCACCAAAATTGAACAGTTGAAGACTGGAAAAATGTTGCCTGGTCTGATGAGTCTCGATTTCTGTTGAGACATTCAGATGTTAGAGTCAGAATTTGGCGTAAACAGAATGAGAACATGGAACCATCATGCCTTGTTACCACTGTGCAGGCTGGTGGTGGTGGTGTAATGGTGTGGGGGATGTTTTCCTGGCACACTTTAGGCCCCTTAGTGCCAATTGGGCATCGTTTAAATGCCACGGCCTACCTGAGCATTGTTTCTGACCATGTCCATCCCTTTATGGCCACCATGTACCCATCCTCTGATGGCTACTTCCACCATGTCACAAAGCTCTAATCATTTCAAATTGGTTTCTTGAACATGACAATGAGTTCACTGTACTAAAATGGCCTCCACAGTCACCAGATCTCAACCCAATAGAGCATCTTTGGGATGTGGTGGAACGGGAGATTCGCATCATGGATGTGCAGCCGACAAATCTGCGGCAACTGTGTGATGCCATCATGTCAATATGGACCAAACTCCCTGAGGAATGCTTCCAGCACCTTGTTGAATCTATGCCACGAAGAATTGAGGCAGTTCTGAAGGCAAAAGGGGGTCCAACCCGTTACTAGCATGGGGTACCTAATAAAGTGGCCGGTGAGTGTATACTGTTTGGTCTATGAACATTAATTCAATTTTTATTTCAAGCATGTTTTATTAACTTATTATGTATTATGTTATGATTGCACGGACACCCCCTGATGATGAGGACTGTGATGTTGGACTCGCACCTGCAGCAAAGCACTCTGGGAAACGCCGCCCTGCCGCTTCTGCGTGTGATTGATGATGCAGATCTCCTGAGAACAGAGCGTCACGGATCAGTGTAATCGATCAGCTCTGAGTGTTATACACACACACACACACACACACACACTATCCAGAGTCTCGCTCTGTTACCTTCTTGTGTTTGAGTGTTACATTCTTGTGTTTGAGTGTTACATTCTTGTGTTTGAGTGTTACATTCTTGTGTTTGAGTGTTACATTCTAGTGTTTGAGTGTTACATTCTAGTGTTTGAGTGTTACATTCTTGTGTTTGAGTGTTACATTCTTGTGTTTGAGTGTTACATTCTTGTGTTTGAGTGTTACATTCTTGTGTTTGAGTGTTACATTCTTGTGTTTGAGTGTTACATTCTTGTGTTTGAGTGTTACATTCTAGTGTTTGAGTGTTACATTCTAGTGTTTGAGTGTTACATTCTAGTGTTTGAGTGTTACATTCTAGTGTTTGAGTGTTACATTCTAGTGTTTGAGTGTTACATTCTAGTGTTTGAGTGTTACATTCTTGTGTTTGAGTGTTACATTCTTGTGTTTGAGTGTTACATTCTTGTGTTTGAGTGTTACATTCTTGTGTTTGAGTGTTACATTCTAGTGTTTGAGTGTTACATTCTAGTGTTTGAGTGTTACATTCTTGTGTTTGAGTGTTACATTCTTGTGTTTGAGTGTTACATTCTTGTGTTTGAGTGTTACATTCTTGTGTTTGAGTGTTACATTCTTGTGTTTGAGTGTTACATTCTAGTGTTTGAGTGTTACATTCTAGTGTTTGAGTGTTACATTCTTGTGTTTGAGTGTTACATTCTTGTGTTTGAGTGTTACATTCTAGTGTTTGAGTGTTACATTCTATTGTTTGAGTGTTACATTCTTGTGTTTGAGTGTTACATTCTAGTGTTCTAGTGTTACATTCTAGTGTTCTAGTGTTTGAGTGTTACATTCTAGTGTTTGAGTGTTACATTCTAGTGTTTGAGTGTTACATTCTAGTGTTTGAGTGTTACATTCTTGTGTTAGAGTGTTACATTCTTGTGTTAGAGTGTTACATTCTAGTGTTAGAGTGTTACATTCTAGTGTTAGAGTGTTACATTCTAGTGTTAGAGTGTTACATTCTAGTGTTAGAGTGTTACATTCTAGTGTTAGAGTGTTACATTCTAGTGTTAGAGTGTTACATTCTAGTGTTTGAGTGTTACATTCTAGTGTTCTAGTGTTTGAGTGTTACATTCTAGTGTTTGAGTGTTACATTCTAGTGTTCTAGTGTTTGAGTGTTACATTCTAGTGTTTGAGTGTTACATTCTAGTGTTTGAGTGTTACATTCTTGTGTTTGAGTGTTACATTCTAGTGTTCTAGTGTTTGAGTGTTACATTCTAGTGTTTGAGTGTTACATTCTAGTGTTTGAGTGTTACATTCTAGTGTTAGAGTGTTACATTCTAGTGTTAGAGTGTTACATTCTAGTGTTAGAGTGTTACATTCTAGTGTTAGAGTGTTACATTCTAGTGTTAGAGTGTTACATTCTAGTGTTTGAGTGTTACATTCTAGTGTTTGAGTGTTACATTCTAGTGTTTGAGTGTTACATTCTTGTGTTTGAGTGTTACATTCTAGTGTTCTAGTGTTTGAGTGTTACATTCTAGTGTTTGAGTGTTACATTCTAGTGTTTGAGTGTTACATTCTAGTGTTAGAGTGTTACATTCTAGTGTTAGAGTGTTACATTCTAGTGTTAGAGTGTTACATTCTAGTGTTAGAGTGTTACATTCTAGTGTTAGAGTGTTACATTCTAGTGTTTGAGTGTTACATTCTAGTGTTCTAGTGTTTGAGTGTTACATTCTAGTGTTTGAGTGTTACATTCTAGTGTTCTAGTGTTTGAGTGTTACATTCTAGTGTTTGAGTGTTACATTCTAGTGTTTGAGTGTTACATTCTTGTGTTTGAGTGTTACATTCTAGTGTTCTAGTGTTTGAGTGTTACATTCTAGTGTTTGAGTGTTACATTCTAGTGCTTGAGTGTTACATTCTTGTGTTTGAGTGTTACATTCTAGTGTTTGAGTGTTACATTCTAGTGTTTGAGTGTTACATTCTAGTGTTTGAGTGTTACATTCTAGTGTTTGAGTGTTACATTCTAGTGTTTGAGTGTTACATTCTTGTGTTTGAGTGTTACATTCTTGTGTTTGAGTGTTACATTCTTGTGTTTGAGTGTTACATTCTTGTTTTTGAGTGTTACATTTGACTGTTACATTCTTGTGTTTGAGTGTTACATTTGAGTGTTACATTCTTGTGTTTGAGTGTTACATTCTTGTGTTTGAGTGTTACATTCTAGTGTTTGAGTGTTACATTCTTGTTTTTGAGTGTTACATTTGACTGTTACATTCTTGTGTTTGAGTGTTACATTCTTGTGTTTGAGTGTTACATTCTAGTGTTTGAGTGTTACATTCTAGTGTTTGAGTGTTACATTCTAGCGTTTGAGTGTTACATTCTAGCGTTTGAGTGTTACATTCTTGTGTTTGAGTGTTACATTCTAGTGTTTGAGTGTTACATTCTAGTGTTTGAGTGTTACATTCTAGTGTTTGAGTGTTACATTCTAGTGTTTGAGTGTTACATTCTAGTGTTTGAGTGTTACATTCAGTGTTTGAGTGTTACATTCAGTGTTTGAGTGTTACATTCTTGTGTTTGAGTGTTACATTCTTGTGTTTGAGTGTTACATTCTAGTGTATGAGTGTTACATTCTTGTGTTTGAGTGTTACATTCTTGTGTTTGAGTGTTACATTCTAGTGTTTGAGTGTTACATTCTAGTGTTTGAGTGTTACATTCTAGTGTTTGAGTGTTACATTCTAGTGTTTGAGTGTTACATTCTAGTGTTTGAGCGTTACATTCTAGTGTTTGAGTGTTACATTCTAGTGTTTAAATGTTACATTCTAGTGTTTGAGCGTTACATTCTAGTGTTTGAGTGTTACATTCTAGTGTTTGAGTGTTACATTCTAGTGTTTGAGTGTTACATTCTAGTGTTTGAGTGTTACATTCTAGTGTTTGAGTGTTACATTCTTGTGTTTGAGTGTTACATTCTTGTGTTTGAGTGTTACATTCTAGTGTTTGAGTGTTACATTCTAGTGTTTGAGTGTTACATTCTAGTGTTTGAGTGTTACATTCTTGTGTTTGAGTGTTACATTCTAGTGTTTGAGTGTTACATTCTAGTGTTTGAGTGTTACATTCAGTGTTTGAGTGTTACATTCTAGTGTTTGAGTGTTACATTCTTGTGTTTGAGTGTTACATTCTTGTGTTTGAGTGTTACATTCTAGTGTTTGAGTGTTACATTCTTGTGTTTGAGTGTTACATTCTTGTGTTTGAGTGTTACATTCTAGTGTTTGAGTGTTACATTCTAGTGTTTGAGTGTTACATTCTTGTGTTTGAGTGTTACATTCTTGTGTTTGAGTGTTACATTCTTGTGTTTGAGTGTTACATTCTAGTGTTTGAGTGTTACATTCTAGTGTTTGAGTGTTACATTCTAGTGTTTGAGTGTTACATTCTTGTGTTTGAGTGTTACATTCTAGTGTTTGAGTGTTACATTCTAGTGTTTGAGTGTTACATTCTAGTGTTTGAGTGTTACATTCAGTGTTTGAGTGTTACATTCTAGTGTTTGAGTGTTACATTCTTGTGTTTGAGTGTTACATTCTTGTGTTTGAGTGTTACATTCTAGTGTTTGAGTGTTACATTCTTGTGTTTGAGTGTTACATTCTTGTGTTTGAGTGTTACATTCTAGTGTTTGAGTGTTACATTCTAGTGTTTGAGTGTTACATTCTTGTGTTTGAGTGTTACATTCTTGTGTTTGAGTTTACATTCTTGTGTTTGAGTGTTACATTCTAGTGTTTGAGTGTTACATTCTAGTGTGAGTGTTACATTCTAGTGTTAGTGTTACATTCTAGTGTTTGAGTGTTACATTCTTGTGTTTGAGTGTTACATTCTTGTGTTTGAGTGTTACATTCTTGTGTTTGAGTGTTACATTCTTGTGTTTGAGTGTTACATTCTTGTGTTTGAGTGTTACATTCTAGTGTTTGAGTGTTACATTCTTGTGTTTGAGTGTTACATTCTAGTGTTTGAGTGTTACATTCTTGTGTTTGAGTGTTACATTCTAGTGTTTGAGTGTTACATTCTAGTGTTTGAGTGTTACATTCTAGTGTTTGAGTGTTACATTCTAGTGTTTGAGTGTTACATTCTTGTGTTTGAGTGTTACATTCTAGTGTTACATTCTAGTGTTTGAGTGTTACATTCTAGTTTGAGTGTTACATTCTTGTGTTTGAGTGTTACATTCTTGTGTTTGAGTGTTACATTCTTGTGTTTGAGTGTTACATTCTAGTGTTTGAGTGTTACATTCTAGTGTTTGAGTGTTACATTCTAGTGTTTGAGTGTTACATTCTTGTGTTTGAGTGTTACATTCTAGTGTTTGAGTGTTACATTCTAGTGTTTGAGTGTTACATTCTAGTGTTTGAGTGTTACATTCTAGTGTTTTAGTGTTTGAGTGTTACATTCTAGTGTTTGAGTGTTACATTCTAGTGTTTGAGTGTTACATTCTAGTGTTTGAGTGTTACATTCTAGTGTTTGAGTGTTACATTCTAGTGTTTGAGTGTTACATTCTAGTGTTTGAGTGTTACATTCTAGTGTTTGAGTGTTACATTCTAGTGTTTGAGTGTTACATTCTTGTGTTTGAGTGTTACATTCTTGTGTTTGAGTGTTACATTCTAGTGTTTGAGTGTTACATTCTTGTGTTTGAGTGTTACATTCTTGTGTTTGAGTGTTACATTCTAGTGTTTGAGTGTTACATTCTAGTGTTTGAGTGTTACATTCTAGTGTTTGAGTGTTACATTCTAGTGTTTGAGTGTTACATTCTAGTGTTTGAGTGTTACATTCTAGTGTTTGAGTGTTACATTCTTGTGTTTGAGTGTTACATTCTTGTGTTTGAGTGTTACATTCTAGTGTGAGTGTTACATTCTAGTGTTTGAGTGTTACATTCTTGTGTTTGAGTGTTACATTCTTGTGTTTGAGTGTTACATTCTTGTGTTTGAGTGTTACATTCTAGTGTTTGAGTGTTACATTCTAGTGTTTGAGTGTTACATTCTTGTGTTTGAGTGTTACATTCTTGTGTTTGAGTGTTACATTCTTGTGTTTGAGTGTTACATTCTTGTGTTTGAGTGTTACATTCTTGTGTTTGAGTGTTACATTCTTGTGTTTGAGTGTTACATTCTTGTGTTTGAGTGTTACATTCTAGTGTTTGAGTGCTACATTCTAGTGTTTGAGTGTTACATTCTAGTGTTTGAGTGTTACATTCTAGTGTTTGAGTGTTACATTCTAGTGTTTGAGTGTTACATTCTAGTGTTTGAGTGTTACATTCTTGTGTTTGAGTGTTACATTCTAGCGTTTGAGTGTTACATTCTAGCGTTTGAGTGTTACATTCTAGCGTTTGAGTGTTACATTCTAGTGTTTGAGTGTTACATTCTAGTGTTTGAGTGTTACATTCTAGTGTTTGAGTGTTACATTCTAGTGTTTGAGTGTTACATTCTAGTGTTTGAGTGTTACATTCTAGTGTTTGAGTGTTACATTCTTGTGTTTGAGTGTTACATTCTTGTGTTTGAGTGTTACATTCTTGTGTTTGAGTGTTACATTCTAGTGTTTGAGTGTTACATTCTAGTGTTTGAGTGTTACATTCTTGTGTTTGAGTGTTACATTCTTGTGTTTGAGTGTTACATTCTTGTGTTTGAGTGTTACATTCTTGTGTTTGAGTGTTACATTCTTGTGTTTGAGTGTTACATTCTTGTGTTTGAGTGTTACATTCTTGTGTTTGAGTGTTACATTCTAGTGTTTGAGTGCTACATTCTAGTGTTTGAGTGTTACATTCTAGTGTTTGAGTGTTACATTCTAGTGTTTGAGTGTTACATTCTAGTGTTTGAGTGTTACATTCTAGTGTTTGAGTGTTACATTCTTGTGTTTGAGTGTTACATTCTAGCGTTTGAGTGTTACATTCTTGTGTTTGAGTGTTACATTCTTGTGTTTGAGTGTTACATTCTAGTGTTTGAGTGTTACATTCTAGTGTTTGAGTGTTACATTCTAGTGTTTGAGTGTTACATTCTAGTGTTTGAGTGTTACATTCTAGTGTTTGAGTGTTACATTCTTGTGTTTGAGTGTTACATTCTTGTGTTTGAGTGTTACATTCTAGTGTGAGTGTTACATTCTAGTGTTTGAGTGTTACATTCTTGTGTTTGAGTGTTACATTCTTGTGTTTGAGTGTTACATTCTTGTGTTTGAGTGTTACATTCTAGTGTTTGAGTGTTACATTCTTGTGTTTGAGTGTTACATTCTTGTGTTTGAGTGTTACATTCTAGTGTGAGTGTTACATTCTAGTGTTTGAGTGTTACATTCTTGTGTTTGAGTGTTACATTCTTGTGTTTGAGTGTTACATTCTTGTGTTTGAGTGTTACATTCTAGTGTTTGAGTGTTACATTCTAGTGTTTGAGTGTTACATTCTTGTGTTTGAGTGTTACATTCTTGTGTTTGAGTGTTACATTCTTGTGTTTGAGTGTTACATTCTTGTGTTTGAGTGTTACATTCTTGTGTTTGAGTGTTACATTCTTGTGTTTGAGTGTTACATTCTTGTGTTTGAGTGTTACATTCTAGTGTTTGAGTGCTACATTCTAGTGTTTGAGTGTTACATTCTAGTGTTTGAGTGTTACATTCTAGTGTTTGAGTGTTACATTCTAGTGTTTGAGTGTTACATTCTAGTGTTTGAGTGTTACATTCTTGTGTTTGAGTGTTACATTCTAGCGTTTGAGTGTTACATTCTAGCGTTTGAGTGTTACATTCTAGCGTTTGAGTGTTACATTCTTGTGTTTGAGTGTTACATTCTTGTGTTTGAGTGTTACATTCTAGTGTTTGAGTGTTACATTCTAGTGTTTGAGTGTTACATTCTTGTGTTTGAGTGTTACATTCTAGTGTTTGAGTGTTACATTCTAGTGTTTGAGTGTTACATTCTAGTGTTTGAGTGCTACATTCTAGTGTTTGAGTGTTACATTCTAGTGTTTGAGTGTTACATTCTAGTGTTTGAGTGTTACATTCTAGTGTTTGAGTGTTACATTCTAGTGTTTGAGTGTTACATTCTTGTGTTTGAGTGTTACATTCTAGTGTTTGAGTGTTACATTCTTGTGTTTGAGTGTTACATTCTTGTGTTTGAGTGTTACATTCTTGTGTTTGAGTGTTACATTCTAGTGTTTGAGTGTTACATTCTAGTGTTTGAGTGTTACATTCTAGTGTTTGAGTGTTACATTCTAGTGTTTGAGTGTTACATTCTAGTGTTTGAGTGTTACATTCTAGTGTTTGAGTGTTACATTCTAGTGTTTGAGTGTTACATTCTAGTGTTTGAGTGTTACATTCTAGTGTTTGAGTGCTACATTCTAGTGTTTGAGTGCTACATTCTAGTGTTTGAGTGTTACATTCTAGTGTTTGAGTGTTACATTCTAGTGTTTGAGTGTTACATTCTAGTGTTTGAGTGTTACATTCTTGTGTTTGAGTGTTACATTCTAGTGTTTGAGTGTTACATTCTTGTGTTTGAGTGTTACATTCTTGTGTTTGAGTGTTACATTCTAGTGTTTGAGTGTTACATTCTAGTGTTTGAGTGTTACATTCTAGTGTTTGAGTGTTACATTCTAGTGTTTGAGTGTTACATTCTAGTGTTTGAGTGTTACATTCTAGTGTTTGAGTGTTACATTCTAGTGTTTGAGTGTTACATTCTAGTGTTTGAGTGTTACATTCTAGTGTTTGAGTGTTACATTCTAGTGTTTGAGTGTTACATTCTAGTGTTTGAGTGTTACATTCTAGCGTTTGAGTGTTACATTCTAGCGTTTGAGTGTTACATTCTAGCGTTTGAGTGTTACATTCTTGTGTTTGAGTGTTACATTCTTGTGTTTGAGTGTTACATTCTAGTGTTTGAGTGTTACATTCTTGTGTTTGAGTGTTACATTCTTGTGTTTGAGTGTTACATTCTTGTGTTTGAGTGTTACATTCTAGTGTTTGAGTGTTACATTCTAGTGTTTGAGTGTTACATTCTTGTGTTTGAGTGTTACATTCTAGTGTTTGAGTGTTACATTCTAGTGTGAGTGTTACATTCTAGTGTTTGAGTGTTACATTCTTGTGTTTGAGTGTTACATTCTTGTGTTTGAGTGTTACATTCTTGTGTTTGAGTGTTACATTCTTGTGTTTGAGTGTTACATTCTTGTGTTTGAGTGTTACATTCTTGTGTTTGAGTGTTACATTCTTGTGTTTGAGTGTTACATTCTTGTGTTTGAGTGTTACATTCTAGTGTTTGAGTGTTACATTCTTGTGTTTGAGTGTTACATTCTAGTGTTTGAGTGTTACATTCTTGTGTTTGAGTGTTACATTCTAGTGTTTGAGTGTTACATTCTAGTGTTTGAGTGTTACATTCTAGTGTTTGAGTGTTACATTCTAGTGTTTGAGTGTTACATTCTTGTGTTTGAGTGTTACATTCTAGTGTTACATTCTAGTGTTTGAGTGTTACATTCTAGTTTGAGTGTTACATTCTTGTGTTTGAGTGTTACATTCTAGTGTTTGAGTGTTACATTCTAGTGTTTGAGTGTTACATTCTAGTGTTTGAGTGTTACATTCTAGTGTTTGAGTGTTACATTCTTGTGTTTGAGTGTTACATTCTAGTGTTTGAGTGTTACATTCTAGTGTTTGAGTGTTACATTCTAGTGTTTGAGTGTTACATTCTAGTGTTTGAGTGTTACATTCTAGTGTTTGAGTGTTACATTCTAGTGTTTGAGTGTTACATTCTAGTGTTTGAGTGTTACATTCTAGTGTTTGAGTGTTACATTCTAGTGTTTGAGTGTTACATTCTAGTGTTTGAGTGTTACATTCTAGTGTTTGAGTGTTACATTCTTGTGTTTGAGTGTTACATTCTAGTGTTTGAGTGTTACATTCTTGTGTTTGAGTGTTACATTCTTGTGTTTGAGTGTTACATTCTTGTGTTTGAGTGTTACATTCTTGTGTTTGAGTGTTACATTCTTGTGTTTGAGTGTTACATTCTAGTGTTTACATTCTTGTGTTTGAGTGTTACATTCTAGTGTTTGAGTGTTACATTCTAGTGTTTGAGTGTTACATTCTTGTGTTTGAGTGTTACATTCTTGTGTTTGAGTGTTACATTCTAGCGTTTGAGTGTTACATTCTAGCGTTTGAGTGTTACATTCTAGCGTTTGAGTGTTACATTCTAGTGTTTGAGTGTTACATTCTAGTGTTTGAGTGTTACATTCTAGTGTTTGAGTGTTACATTCTAGTGTTACATTCTAGTGTTTGAGTGTTACATTCTAGTTTGAGTGTTACATTCTTGTGTTTGAGTGTTACATTCTAGTGTTTGAGTGTTACATTCTAGTGTTTGAGTGTTACATTCTATTGTTTGAGTGTTACATTCTATTGTTTGAGTGTTACATTCTAGTGTTTGAGTGTTACATTCTTGTGTTTGAGTGTTACATTCTAGTGTTTGAGTGTTACATTCTAGTGTTTGAGTGTTACATTCTAGTGTTTGAGTGTTACATTCTTGTGTTTGAGTGTTACACTCTTGTGTTTGAGTGTTACATTCTAGTGTTTGAGTGTTACATTCTTGTGTTTGAGTGTTACATTCTTGTGTTTGAGTGTTACCTTCTTGTGTTTGAGTGTTACATTCTTGTGTTTGAGTGTTACATTCTTGTGTTTGAGTGTTACATTCTTGTGTTTGAGTGAGTGTTACATTCTTGTGTTTGAGTGTTACCTTCTTGTGTTTGAGTGTTACATTCTTGTGTTTGAGTGTTACATTCTAGTGTTAGAGTGTTACCTTCTTGTGTTTGAGTGTTACATTCTAGTGTTTGAGTGTTACCTTCTTGTGTTTGAGGTAGGCCTTCTTGGCGGTGATGCGACCCCTGCGAGCCTCCAGCTGCCTCGACCTCTGCTGAAGCCTGGCCTCGTCCTCCCTCGCAGGGGTCAGAGGGGTCACAGGTGTCGCGGGGTCATCGGTGGCCTTCATGGCGTCAGGGCTCTCGTACGTGTCATAGTAGACCACCTCCTCCTGCCTCTCTGCACACACACACACACACAGTCATGAAGGGTGAGCGGCCGCAGTGTGAGGATACACACACACACACACACACACACTCACCGCTCATCTGTCTGCGCAGACTCTGCAGTTGTGCCGTCAGCAGCAGCTCCTCGTACTTCAGGATCTCGAACTGGATCTCGTAGAGCTGCAGCTGAAGCTCGTAATAAAGCGACTCGAGATGATCCAGACGCACCATCGCATCCTCACCGTCCTGAAGACCCTGCATCTGAGAGAGAAGACCGTGTGAGTGTGTGTGTGACGCTGCATCTGAGAGAAGACCACGTGAGTGTGTGTGTGTGTGTGTGTGTGTGTACCTCCTCTCTCAGGCCGTGTTTCCTCTGCTCTAGGCAGATCTCTTTGGCTCTCATCAGCTGCAGTGTTTCTTTAGAGACGGCATACTGTAGTTTCTCCATGCGCTCCACAGCCGCTGCCCACGCTGCCTTCCCGAACTTCCTCTGGTCGGCCCGCATGCGCTCGAACATCACTGCAGAGAGAGAGAGAGAGAGAGAGTGTGAGAGAGATGGAGAGAGAGAGAGAGAGAGAGAGAGAGAGAGTGTGTGTGTGTGTGTGTGTGAGAGAGAGAGAGAGTGTGTGTCTGACTGTGTCTGTCTGTGTGTCTGACTGTATCTGTCTGTGTGTGTGTGTGTGTGTGTCTGACTGTGTGTGTGTGTGTGTCTGTCTGTCTGTCTGTCTGTCTGTCTGTCTGTCTGACTGTGTGTGTGTGTGTGTGTGTGAGAGAGAGAGAGTGTGTGTCTGACTGTGTCTGTCTGTGTGTCTGACTGTATCTGTCTGTGTGTGTGTGTGTGTGTGTCTGACTGTGTGTGTGTGTGTGTCTGACTGTGTGTCCGTCTGACTGTGTGTGTGTGTGTGTGTGTCTGACTGTGTGTCTGTCTGTCTGTCTGTCTGTCTGACTGTGTGTGTGTGTGTGTGTGTCTGACTGTGTGTCCGTCTGACTGTGTGTGTGTGTGTGTCTGACTGTGTGTCTGTCTGTCTGTCTGTCTGACTGTGTGTGTGTGTGTGTGTCTGACTGACTGTGTGTCTGTCTGTCTGTCTGTCTGTCTGACTGTGTGTGTGTGTGTGTGTCTCTGTCTGTCGGTTTGTTTGTTTGTCTGTGTGTGTGTGTGTGTGTGTGTCTCTGTCTGTCGGTTTGTTTGTTTGTCTGTGTGTGTGTGTGTGTGTGTGTGTGTGTGTGTGTCTGTCTGACTGTCTGTCTGTGTGTCTGACTGTGTGACTGTCTGTGTGTCTGACTGTCTGACTGTGTGTCTGACTGTCTGTCTGTGTGTCTGACTGTGTGACTGTCTGTCTGATTGTGTGTCTGTCTGACTGTGAGAGACTGTGTGTGTGACTGTGTCTGTGTGTGACTGTGTCTGTCTGTCTGTCTGTCTGATCTGAAGCGTTTGCTGCTTGAGAACCAGAGATTTAAAGGTCTCATGTTTCACACTGAAGGTTCTTGCACAGAAATTCTCGTCAGAAATTTTCGCACGTTAAAAAATAAATACGACCTCATGTTGTGTCAATCACGTTTACACACTGCCTCCGAAACTCTCGTCCATCATAAAAAAAATCAGATCCGTTTTCTGCGTTTTTTGCATCAGTAGGAAGTATTTTGACAGTTCAGAGCCACCGAATGACGAATACAAAAAAATGTGTGAAAACATGTGACGAGCTGGTGTCATGTGACTCGCCGGTGGTCATGTGACGAGGTGGTGGTCATGTGACTCGCCGGTGTCATGTGACTCGCCGGTGGTTATGTGACTCGCCAGTGGTCATGTGACGAGGTGGTGGTCATGTGACTCGCCAGTGGTCATGTGACGAGGTGGTGGTCATGTGACTCGCCAGTGGTCATGTGACGAGGTGGTGGTCGTGTGACTCGCCTGTGGTCATGTGACTCGCCAGTGGTCATGTGGCGAGGTGGTGGTCGTGTGACTCGCCAGTGGTCATGTGACGAGGTGGTGGTCGTGTGACTCGCCTGTGGTCATGTGTCTCGCCAGTGGTCATGTGACGAGGTGGTGGTCGTGTGACTCGCCGGTGGTCATGTGACGAGGTGGTGGTCGTGTGACTCGCCTGTGGTCATGTGACTCGCCTGTGGTCATGTGACTCGCCAGTGGTCATGTGACGAGGTGGTGGTCATGTGACTCACCAGTGGTCATGTGACGAGGTGGTGGTCGTGTGACTCGCCTGTGGTCATTTGACGAGGTGGTGGTCATGTGACTCGCCGGTGTCATGTGACGAGGTGGTGGTCATGTAACTCGCCAGTGGTCATGTGACGAGGTGGTGGTCGTGTGACTCGCCTGTGGTCATGTGACGAGGTGGTGGTCGTGTGACTCGCCGGTGTCATGTGACGAGGTGGTGGTCATGTGACTCGCCGGTGGTACTAGGTGTGTTCGACATCGGCTGTGGCTGGATGTAACCGATCGGCGAGAGTAGCTGCGTGCAGGCGGGGAGGAGCTGCAAATGGAGACGTGAAGTCGGACACTTTCTGGTTCCCGTAGTGACCGCTCACGTGGTGTTTGTATACTTTACCACAGCTGAAGTGAAATAAATTCAATATTTGCCAAATGCACAGATGTTTCAGACACATTTTCATTCATTACTTTATGTACTGCTTCATACTGCATCTGTTTGAACAAGAATAAAGTTCAAAATAGCCACTATCAATGAAGTGCAGTCGACGTTTTTAATCACTTTTATTTTGATAAACATAACACAATATAGCCTAACATCACGACTACATGAAAAGAGTGTTTACTGTTATAAAAAACTGATTTGTGAGCTTTAGTGGAACTAAAGGTGTGAGAATAAACACGAAACGCACGTGATCGTTGTCATGCGGTGAATCCGGCCAATCGTGGAACAGCTGTGTCGTCATCAGAGCTCGTGCAGCCCAGAGCAGCCGCTCTTCAGAATATGCGCTGGCTGAGTTCTCCGGCTGCTCTCGAATCGCTCTCGCGGTATTTTGATGGCATACGTCACAGTCACGTGGCGTCGGCGCTGTATCAAGTCGGACAACATTTCTAACCGGCATGCACTGCTTCAAGTCAGCCGCCGATCGGTCTGCGCAGAGCTGCATGAAGTCGAACAAGCCTTATGTGACTCGCCTGTGGTCATGTGACGAGGTGGTGGTCATGTGACTCGCCGGTGTCATGTGACGAGGTGGTGGTCATGTGACTCGCCGGTGGTCATGTGATGAGCTGGTGTCATGTGACGAGGTGGTGGTCATGTGATGAGCTGGTGTCATGTGACTCGCCGGTGTCATGTGATGAGCTGGTGTCATGTGACGAGGTGGTGGTCATGTGATGAGCTGGTGTCATGTGACGAGGTGGTGGTCATGTGATGAGCTGGTGGTCATGTGACTCACCCTTCTGAGCGCGTGCGGTGGTCTCGAAGTATTTGACGGTCAGGTCCTGTATGGAGAGCACAGCGGCGTGAGCTTTCCTCTGCCAGTCCTCATCTTCCCTGCGTAACGAGTCCACGCGCCGAGGGCCCAGACGCTCCGTCTGCAGCGAGATCTGACACACACACACACACACAGGTCAGATAACATCCTCATCACTCATAAACAGGCCAAGCACGCTTTCAATGCGTGATGTAGCCAAGAACCAGAACTATAATAATAATAACTAATAATGGTAACACTTTATTTGACAGTGTCCTTGTTACTTGTTACTTACATAGTAAATGTTCCATAATTACATGCAACTAACCCTAAACCAAACCCTAATGCTGCCTGTACATGTAGTTAAGTATCATTACTCCGTACTAAAATACATAATTACACTGTAACAATGACACCTGAAAGCCCCGCTGAAGTGCCTTGGAGCGCGCAGCTGTGTGTGATGCGCTGACGTCATTTCCACTCAAACAGGAAGCTCAGGCAGACATATTTGAATGGCTCCTCCCCCTTTTCAAATAGCCAATAGCGTTTGTTTCCCTCACAGACTGACAGCACCATGGAAGCGAATCCGAGCGCTGGTGATACGCTGGGTTTAATCGTAGAGGTGCGAATAAATTCTAGTTATTTCATTCCTTACCAAATGTACAGTTGTGAATAAAAAACGGAATAAAACTCGAGCAGCCGAACACACATCTCCCACCAGTAGCGTCATTTTGTTTTAAAAAGTGTGTGGCACAGGTGTGGGGAGAGGTTGCTAGAATGCTAAGATATGTAAGCAATAAGGTACGAGAGGCTGTGCTGTATCGTGAATAAGTAACGGCTGGAGGGCGTTGTTAGGCACGACGCGAAGCGGAGTGCCTGCAACCCCTTCAGCCGTTACTTATTCACGATACAGCACTTGCCTCGAGTACCTTATTGCTTTTATAAAACGGTTGCCACACAATAAAAATATTAAAGCCGAAAAATATGTATCTATGCAACTTTCATGAAGTAAAATCACTAAAAGCCTGCCTTCCGCTGGAAAAAATAGTCCCGGAACGTGAACAGCAACAGAAGTTACATATATTATTTCGCCAATAGATGGCGGCAAAGACTGTCTTTATGAGTGAGTGAGTGAGTGAGTCTGTAGAGAAGGCTTTTGAAAGGACTCGAACTTGTGATCACGGAGAAGACAGACGCAACTGACAGATGACTAACGTTATGCACGGAAAACCCCATGACTGTTAAAAGGACAAAATATGCAGCGGACATTCAAACGCATTTTTTTATTATGAATATAGGACTGACCTGAAGGAAAATGCTACGTCTACTGTAAATGCAGGTACACTCGCTTACTCGATCTCTCACAATGCTCTGCTCTAGCTTTAAATGAACAATATCAATGAGATGAAACATCTGTTTAAGTTGCTAAGAGTGGTTGCTAGGGGTGTTGTGTAGTGATACATAGAACCGTTGGGTGAAGCGGTCATAGCCGTGTTTTATCGTGAATAAAGCACAGCTATTGACCAATCAGAATCAAGGATTGGAACTAACCGTTTTATAAATGTACAATATATGTGTACAATAACAATTTTCGGAAAGAATTACATTACAATGTACAGAAATCAATTTCAAAAGTACATTGGGTTTAATTTTTTCCATTTAATGAGATCTACTGTACTGATATATGTTAGTGCCGAGAATTATCCATATATCCGCGAGTGTAACTTGTGTGCTTTCATGGGCTAGCGGTAATACTTTTGCCAAGCGTGTCGGGGGTTCTAGTATAGGTTTTTTTGTTTTTCATCAAAACCGAATATGTTCATCAGTGTTTGTGTATCAAGCAGGGACAGGATCGCAGACGCACTCAGCTCTGACGTCAGCGCTGGATCTCTTCTTTAATAGCGAACGAAATGAAAGCCCTGCTAGTTAACTGCAGATATTTTATGTATTTGTATAATGTACATCCGTGCCGCGAGATGTTTCAGATAGTGGTCGGGAGAATATCGACCCTGGCAAAAACACACATTGCTCCGCGACGTGTCAGTGTCACATTAGGGGGCGGAGCTTTACACTCTAGAGAGCATTTGATTGGACAGAAGATGTGATGAGAAGCTGAAGTACGCGCTGACGTCATGATCCGTGACCCGGAAGTGAGAGACTGAAAGTTTTGAATGTTTATATCTCCTAAATGCGAATTTTGTCATTGGTTTGGAACACACCGGCTTATTCATAACCTTAACCCTAACATATTCATGATGAGAGCTACAAAACGTATATTTTGATTTCAGGAGGCCTTTAAAATTAAGTGTAACACTAATAATTTTTATTTATTTATTCCGTTTGCTGTTTGAATTAATCATTTGAATGAACGACTCAGTGACTCAACTCATTAAGTTCTAGTCCATTTAAAAATTATAATAAATAATTAAATATGCAATTTAAAAAACAGTCTCACAGCAGTATTTATCCCACATCTGCAGTGCAAAGATGGATTTTGTTGATATTGATTGATAACAGCGTTTTACTCTAATTAAATGTATTGATTAAAGCTGCAGTCCGTAGCTTTTCCTCTTTGTCGCCATCTCTCTGTTCGAAATCTGTAACTGCAGTGATTGGCTGAATTATCATCTTTACGTGGGTTGTAAATCGGCATGAAACAGCGCGGATGAACACAGTGCTTTGAGGCGAGTGCTGCTGTCAGTCACCGCGCTGTGTGTATAGCCTACTGGCATACAGAATCACAGATTCACTTTTTGAAAGTTTGACCAACATAAGAATTTTCATAAGAAAATGTCTTCTGAACAAGTAAGTAACATCCATTTTTGTTCTGACCAACTAAGGGGGAAAAAGCATTCGACATGATAAGCTTCGTTAGATTTAATCAATGCGATTTACAGCAACCGTGCAAATTATAGCCTACTTTGTTCTCAAATTGTTCATGTTAACAACATCAGCATTGCGTGACTAATGTTAAATTTAATGTGTTTTATGGTTACCTGTGTAGTTCAGAATTCATATTCTCCATAATAGCAAAACAAGAAAGGCACAACAAAGGAAACTCCATAACTGTGTGAATTAAGAAAACGTACTGTTACACGATTGAACTATTGAAATGTCTTACTTGTCCAGCAGAAAAAAGCCGTCTCTTCTTCCGTTTCGAACCCCTTCAAAACACGGAGTTCACGCACTTTTCAAAAGCCCCGCCGATGTTTAAATCCTTGTGTTCGCATGAGACGGTTTCTTTCTCTTTCTCTAGCCACCTTAAATCCGAAGTACGAAGTCTTTTGGGTTTTATAACTGCTGAATCTCCAGTTGACACTGATGATTGTTGTTTGGATCTTCCTGGATGCCATAAGTTTAATCATGTAAAGTGCTGCGAGAAAAGCCTATACATCTCAACATCTGGTCACGCGCCGTATAGCCGGCTAGCCGAGACTCCTTCTTTATGTGTACGGGTGTGACGTAATGACGCAAAGACATGCTCGAATCTCCCGCGGAAACCCACCAGTACCACTGGAATTAAAATCATTATTACAAGCTAACCGTTTTGAATCTAGCTATGGCAAGCAGAGAGTTTTGACCACTGGCAGAATAAGTTTTTT